ACTCCCTCAGCACTGGTGACCACGCTGGAGGTACGTGAGGAGGTCCCAGAACCCCCCCTCCCTCCCCCAAAGCTAAAGGTTTATCAATTCCCTTTAGTCACTTACCCAGCGCTCCACCTTCTCCGACATCATCCCACGGGGGGCTAATGTGCATGCCTGGTGAGCACTGCAGTCGCATTAGGCCTTTCCCATTGCTTTAATACTTTCTATGGTGACTATAGTATCCCTTTAAAGTCAATCTGACTTGAGAAAATAAGAGGTGCAGAAAAAAAAATCCAGTATACCTGGAGATAGGGACACAGGTAGCTACGCAAAAGGCAAAGTAAAACATGATAACATACGTATAATCAGGAGTTATCCTAAGGCTCAGCACAATTCACAAAGTTAGCGTACACATTGTGACTGAGTGGAGCATGGGAAAATGAAAGAGAGATAAAGAAGTGAGGGTGGAGAGAGCCTTTTGGGCATTTATAGAATAACTTATGGGGTCTCAGGAAAGGGCATAACTCTTGTAAATAAATAACTACTGTTCATTAATACCTCATTGCAGAATAATTTGTCATCTTGTGCGTGGCGCTAAAAATCTGCTATTCAGTGGAGCAAGGATCCTCTATTTTCAATCCACCACCTAAGGGAATAGAGGGGCTGAGGTCTGTCTTATGAATAGTAGAATAAGGATCTCAGCTGTGTACAGAATTCTGAAAGTAAGCCATATTTCATTGTAAGGGAAGATATATGGCTGTCTAAGGGGTGCGGTGTCTGTATATTTGGAGTATATTTGGATGCCCAGCCACTTCTCAACTAAGCAAGCTAAACAATGTTGGCTTTCTGTACAGGGGATTTACCAATGCAGCATATGTGTGGCTTGTGGATACATGAATAAGGGCTCAAAAATACTTACGGATTCAGTTGACAAGATCATATGTAAGGTCAAACATTTTTTCAATTGCAATACAAAAGGGGTTATATACCTTTTAATTTGTATTTGTGGCCTTAGATATGTAGGAAAGACGATACGTCCCTTCAAGAAGAGAATCATGGAGCATGTACATTCTGTTAGGAATCTCAGAGATACCCCAGTGGCAAGACACATTAGAACATGCCATAGAGGAGACCCAGGAGTTATTAGGTTTGCAGGTATTGAAAAAGTCAATACAGGAGTCAGAGGAGGAGATTTGGATAAAACCCTTCTAAAAAGGGAATGCTTTTGGATATACAGGTTTAACACTCTGGCCCCTAGGAGTACTTTATGTATTTATTTTGAACCACTTTTCTATTGTAAATTTGTAAATTTATAAACAATGTTCTTAAAGCATATTTCAGATTTGGTCTCTCCGACAGGAATTAAATTTGTGACAGCTTTGGACACTATTCTCCTTTTCATAATTACATATAAGTAAACCAACTATATTACCCTATCACTAATAGTCCCATATGAGATGTAGATTTATGATCTTGATCCATCATATCTTTTTTCCAGTAAACACATTGATATTGATTATTTAGAGATTACACATTTATATAGATCAATATTGATGCATGTACACATGGATTCCCTCTTTAAGTAGGTTTCTATACATACATCACAGTCTTAGATTTTACCCACTACTAATAAAATAAGTGGCATATTCTTCAGATCATCCCTAATCAATATAAAGAAATCGGAGATGACAATAAGATTTATCCGACTGTTTATTATGGGACACGAAGGGTTAAATGTATTGTGACATCTGTGTCTCCAACCAATCATATGGCAATACGTACTAAAGGGGCATGGCTAATTCGAACGTCGGTTTTGGCGCGAATAGCCGAGACACACACCCTGCCAGTGATTGGTTCAGTGCTGTCATAAATTGATTCCTGTGAGGGGAGTCCGGTTGCCTTGCCTCAGATGAAGTTGCTTTAGCAGCGCCGAAACGCACGTTAGGTAGCTTAGGTCGTTTTTAGCAGACAGGTAGTTAGAATATAGAAGTGTGTAATCCGATTATTTTCTTTTGATCACTTTCATTTTCTTTTATTTTTATCGTGAGCGTTTGGGATGTGCTAATGGACGCAATGGGGACTCCTCAAAGGGGTGGTGGAGTTTTAGCCTGACAGATCGTGATTAGGGCTCTCCTATTGTTATAGGGACATTCTCCCCGCTTACCTTGGTTTCTCCCAAATAGTATCGGGCAATTGTTTATTTAGACAGCCCATGCTTGTATTCCGAGCGAGAGTCACATACTTTGCAATATTACCAACACAAATGCCAGATTGTAGCACTTTGTATCCATTAGTTGCCACCATATTGACTTAGCAATTTAAGTATGTTATTCAATCGCTAACACAGTCCTTTCTAGTGGAGATTCTGTATCTACTAGTTGCCATAATATTACCTTAGATAAATAAGCAGGTAATTCAATCACTCACACATAATTAATCAGCGGATATATCCACACACCTGTCTTTTTATATTGTTTCCACATTTTATTTCTGATACAAATAAAGGTTATATTTTAATATATTTCAATATATTTATGTGGTTGGTAGAGGGACTTCCTACCAGTTATTCCAGAGATGTTTTTTCTGGAATTCCTTTTTCTTTTGTTTGTAACATGTTCAAGTGAGGGTTACCCCCTATAAAGTAGTCCCTGACACACAATATACTAGTTTCCCGTTTAGGGTACTATTTTTTTCTGTTTTTTGGATGCTTTTTTGCTTATTTTTTTAAATATGTTGGATTTGTTTTCACCTGCTGCTTCTATTGCACTATAACCATCATTATTGAACGTACTGCATTTATTCAGCAACGGATTTATCAAACTTACCTGTACCTTTTTTTTTTGTTGCTAGAAATAAGTTCTGTTTTACACTTTTTTCCCAACACTAAATTTGGTGGTCTTTTCTGAAATGGATATTTGTGTCAGGACTGTCTTATTGCATGGGCACGCTGGGCACTTGCCTCGGGGATCAATGAGCATAGGGGCCCCATAGGCTTGCCAACTTTTTAGTTTATTACCCCAGGATATTTATTCAGAGCTTACAAACCCTCTTTATTGAAACATTTAGGTGGACGTATCAGCTGTTATTTGTACATGTGATCTTGCTGGCGATCTTGCTGTTGTAAATATATATCTTGACCTTGATGAAAACAACGCACACGTACTAATTGTACATAAGTAAGATAACAGTAACACAGAATGAAGCCGTAAAACTATAATAAAGTACTTCCAATATTTTTAACAGTCCATGTCAGTTGCCTCGCCCTGCTGCCTACTAAACATTTGTGTGGCTTAATCTCTGCTGTACAGCATGTTTTTTATGTTTAAATACTGATTTTGTTGGAGGTATCAATAAATATAAGATTAATTTTATCGATAATTTACATTTTCATTACCGTAAGTGGTTCTGTAGGCAGAGACCCAGTGCACTACTTTGGCCGGGCTCCTTTAGTGCTTTTAAGATGGCCCTGATTTCTATTAAGAATGGTGCTATGTAGGTAGAGAAAAGCTTAAAGGGATACTGTACTGCAATTTGCCACACTCGCATTAGAACTCTCCTTAGGAAAGCATTGAATCGATGCTTTCCTAAGGCGAAAAATCTAATGCTGTAGAGCAGACCCTCCAGAAAACTAACCACAACTCACATGATTCTATGAATGAATTAGAAAGGCTGAGAATCATGGGAGTTGTAGTTCATCAACATCTGGAGGGCCAGAGTTTGGGGAAGCCTGCTGTAGAGCGTGAGGATGTCTAGTGTCACATAGCAGACCAAAGGTCCGTTTCAATCTCTAGCTGTCTGGTAGACCACTGGAGGCAGACTTAAAGGACCACTATAGGCACCCAGACCACTTCAGCTTAATGAAGTGGTCTGGGTGCCAGGTCCATCTAGAATTAACCCTTTTTCTTTATAAACATAGCAGTTTCAGAGAAACTGCTATGTTTATAAATGGGAGAATGCTTTCCTATGGACTGGCTGAATGCACGCGCGGCTCTTGCCGCGCATGCGCATTCAGCCGAAGAGGAGGAGAAGAGGGAGGAGAGCTCCCCGCCCGGCGCTAGAGAAAGAGGTAAGTTTAACCCCTTCCTCTCCCCAGAGTATGTTTTCCTGGCACTATAGTGGTCCTTTAAGGGATTCTATAGTGCCTGGCACTATTTAATCCTTCAGTGCCCTCCTTCAGTGCCCCCTCCCTGGGGCTGAAGCGGTTAGTCAATTACCTGAATCCAGGCTCCGCCCAAGGTCCGCCAACGCTGACGTAAGCGGGTGAGACCTAATGTGCATGCACAGCAATGCATTAGGATTTCCCCATAGGAAAGCATTATTCAATGCTTTCCTATGGTGAAAAACCTGATGCTGGAGGTTCTCATGCAGAGTGTGAGGACGTCCAGCATCAGATACCGGCGGTCTGTTTTAAACCATGAAGTCTCTCTAGTAGCTGTCTGGTAGACAGCCACTAGCAGTTTCTCTGGAACTGCAATATTTACCATTGCAGCACTAAGTGCAAAAGGTACACTCAATGAGCTGAAGTAATCTGGGTGCCTACCGTGTCCCTTTAATTATTATTATTATTTTATTATTTATATAGCGCCATCAAATTCCGTAGAGCTGTATCTTTAATCTTTTTAGACCATTTTTAGACCAGTTGAATACATACAAACAGATTAGAGACCAACAATAAATTATACTTTTCAGATAACTTAAAAAATGTATACTAACGTCAAATGCCAATCTTACACGTAACTGATATTAGCCAGCCTGGAACATGCAGCAGGTAAGGGGTTAATCTCTGCACATGCAGACTCTAGGCACCATGATCACTTCAAATCACTGAAGTGGTCATGGTGTTTGGAGTAGCCCTTTGAGTTGCAGTGGGACTATATTTTTTAATAAGTTATTTTTGTGTTACATCACTTAGAAATAATTAATGCGTGACTTTAACATATTGGGTGCCCTCCTCTGGGTGTGTTTTGATGAGCACAGAAACTTGCACATTCCAAGGATTCCAGTTCTGTTGGATAGAAAGGGATGGGCCATTTCGTGGGCTGTAGGAGGCATCTTAGTCCCAACCCAGGATTAAAAGTCACCCCCCTGAAAACACAAAACCACACTGAGAGAAGCTGTCATTATCCACACAGGAGCTCATACAGGTCAGTGCCACGTTCATTCTATGGTTAGAGATTCTGAATGATTCAGTGCAAAATTTCTGAAAATATATATACATACATACATACATACATGCATACATACATACATACAGTATAACTATGATGAATAATGTATGGCTGACATAAGTGGCAGGTGACATTGTTAAGTGGTCTAAATATACTTACATATCCATCTAAGATAGCATAGTATACGCAAACTGATTTTTCATTTGGGCTATCTGTGCCACCAGGTCAACAAATCTTCTATGTGTGTCCAATTAGTTTCCAATTCACGCATCTGGTTTAGATTGTAAACGCTGAGGCACTTTTCTAATGCAACCATATATTGTGGTTTATTCACCTCCATGGCAATATAACTTGGACACCTGGAACCTGTACACCTGTTAACTCCTTATCAAATGTTCATACATATATTTTAATACATATTAATAGTAGCAGTACCTAATCCAGTTTATATTTGGATTGCCACAGTTAATTCTATTAAAAACTCAACCATAAGTTTTGTTTTGCATTTTGATTTTTAACAAGCGCATACGTTTTCATATTTACATATATTTTTTTTATTAATTCCTTTGAATTAGATGACTTTCACCAGATTTACAGATAAATGCAAAAATATTTTTTTTTTTGTGTATATAATTTAATTATACCGACAACTAAATTGATAAATTAATTTTAAAAGCTATCCAAACTTTTTGTACAATTTGATTGTTAGTACTTTAACAAGTTGCTGTTTAGTGGACAAACCCCTGTGTAAAAACACATACATGAAGTGTATGGTTTATGGCAATTTTACTAGCTGCAAACCATGGCAATATACACAGCATCTTATTTTGTCCAACTACTGCAATTCATTGTCCTATTTAATGTAAGGGTTAATAACAGACATAACTCATTAATGTACTGTAGGGGGCGTTGGGATACAAGCTTGTTCAGATGAAGGCAAAGTTTTTTTGACTTCCAAAAACCTGTAAATGTACATGTGTTTGATTCAGTGTATGTGAACGTTTGCAGGCCATTTACACGTCTATGCTGTTACAGTCAGAGTGTATGTAAACTGCATGAGTTTTGTTTGTTGTATAATATTTTGTATCTACACTGCCTATTGAAGAGACTTTGTTAGAGAAGACAGTGTCAAATTATTTGGTATTACATTGTCAGATGATACAGGGCAGTGAAAAGAAGGGTGGAGGGATAGCTGTGAGTGGGGGATAAGGAGTTGGTGGGTGCGGCTTTGTTTTTACCAAAACTTCCTCTTTTCTATTTTCTTTAATTCTTTTTTTTGTAGCTACATTGAGCTGGGGGTGCACGAGGTGCAAAGAGAATTCAGATTTAGTGTGGATGTTTTAACACAAGAGTTGAAACAAAGTTCAGAACGGGTTTGTCCATGTCAGTTATCTTATTGCTAAAGTTTTTGTCACATGAGTCTGGCTGTGTGCGTGTGAGACATATGAATCCTGACTCTACTCTGAGACAGTCCCAACGCATTTATATTGTCCATAATTACAGTGAATAATTGTATGTCACAGCATTTCTTCATAAAACCTAACATTTGTATTGTTGTCAGACAAAAGGTAGCTTAGTTCTAGACTCTCAAACTTTGTTACCTTGTGGCATACCACTGCTTCCAATAATTTGAACTATTTCTGTTGAAAATAAATCTATTTTCAGGAAAGATCTATTTTTTAATTTAAAAAAATGCTTGTTTTTTTTTTTTTTTTTTAGGAAATCTCAATATGTCAAGGTCTACAGAGAGGAAGAAGTCCTGGTGGGAAAAGTGCTGTCCGTGCTGTGCCAGTAATCGAGGAGAGGACACTGAGGACTATGTATCAAGCACTGGAGGAGGATTTATAGATAGACCTGGAAGGCCTACAGACAGACCCAGGGACCCTGATGGATCAGGAAGGGGAACAGGGTCAGAAACAGGGACAGACACAGTTACAGACACAGTTACAGGGCCTAGGACTGGGGAAGGCAGAGACAGATCAGATAGAAATACTGACATAAATCTGGATGATTTGCCTTCTGGAGAGATAAGCAGTGAGTATAAGTTCAACTATACTTCATGAACTTCTGCTATTGTCCCTTAATGCTTTTCAACTGAATTCTACATCCTTTTTCTTTATTATTGCTTTTTTATTATTAATATTTATGACCTCTTAACTTTACTCTTTATAACTCTTCTTTCTTGTTTGCCCTAAACTAAATTGCACCCAACGTCTGACTCTTTCGCTGAACCCCCTCTCAATATTGTACCCAAAATAAATGATACCGATGTCCTCTTATGTCCTCTTAGGAACAGCACTGCAAATTCAAAGTGTGGATCTTCTTAAAAGTCGGAATGGTGAGAACCGTCAATCCCATCACACAGATCAATATGAATATGAGGACCTCATAGTGCGCAGAGGGAAACCCTTCAAAATAAGCATTACCTTCAAGAGGTCATTCAATATCAAGAGTGACCAAATTGCAGTAATTCTACAAATGGGTGAGTGATACTATAACACCAGCCTAGACTGATTACATTATATTCTAAAACAAGCAAAAATAGATTAAATAAAATGACTAATCTTTTCATAATTGAGTGGCATCATTTAATCGTTTTTCTAAAATGTTCTAAAATAGACAGAGCTTGATGAAGTTATTGCATGGACCGTGCAAAACTGACAATGCCCAATTGAGGCACAATTTGTTTTGTAGAGGCGTCAAAATTGACTTGACAAACTGAATTCGATACTGTAATATTATTAAACATACAAATTAAAATTAAAAAATAAATGTTGTTAAAGTTAGAAAATTCCAAACCCGATTTCATGGAGACAGATTTGGAAATCAAAGCATTGTAAATTTTTAGATAAAAGAGTAGAGAAAAGATCTGTTCACTATACTATGTATACCTATGTTATGAAAAAAAATGACATTTGTTTCTGACATTGTATCTAAATTGGATTTCAGTTGAATAGATCCCAAGCAGGGTTATAAACTAAAGTAAGAATCAACAGGAATTCAAGGTAGATTCAAAGTGAATATCAAATTTAAGGTCAAAGTAGCCTGAACTGAAAGCATAGCTGACTTGGAGGTTTTTTTTCCATTTTGGCTTTAAATGTGAAATTCACTTAAAATTCCCAACAATTCTTACTTTAGTGAATAACCCTATATGGCTTTTCTTGTGTCTTGGTGTTTGTTTTTGGAAGTTTTGGAAGTAGTAGGAATAATGCACCAATATCATTGACAGTTATATGTGAAGATAGACTATTGTGTTGTAATTGGCCCCACTCTGATAATTTTTAAATGTTTAAAGGTATGTTTGAGATGCAAATATAATTAGCACTTGGGTCACTTGCTTTTCATATATGGCTTTGCTCTTTATATGGATTATGGTCAATTTAACTACAACACTGTAAGCTTCATGACTGAGAAACAAAGGACATTTATTTCAAGTTTGTATTTTATATTCATGATCATCCAGCACATATCGATATTCAATAAAGTGAGAACTTAAAGGGACACTATAGGCACCCAGACCACTTTAGTTCATTGAAGTCATCTGGGAGCAGTGTCCCAGCACCCTTAACTCTGGAAAGTTAGGGACCTCCGGGTGGTTAGGCAACTTTCTTCGCCTAACTGATGTTGGGCATCCTTACGCTGTGCACAAGGACTTCCCACGCCCCTGAAACCCCATAGGAAAGCATTGAATAATACTTTCCTACGGGGAAATCCTAATGCGAGCACGGCCATGCACTTTAGGTTGGTTTTTAAACCTTTCTGCACCATAGTGGTGGAGAGGTGTGCACTATAGGAAGATATAGTTCCAGGAAAACAGCTTTGTTTTCCTGGCACTATAGCTAGTTTCCCTTTCAAGTGAATTTAAAATGTAAGACCAAAGTAGCTGAAGTATTAGCATAGCTGACTATTTCTTACCTTAAATTTGAATATACTTTGAATTCTCACTTTACTGAATAACCCTGAGAGAGTGTATCAATCTGGAAGCAACAATTGAATGCTGTTGTGAACCACAAGATGGTTTCGGCACTCTGTGTGTCTGTTACTCAGTGAACATCTTGTAATGCAAGATGAACCACTGTCAGTATCCTTTCCAGACCTCATCATTTTCAGAAGGGATTGGTGCTGATGATTTTATAACTTAATGAGATGCGGTATTGCACAAATTATTTATTTATTTATAAAATATTTTACCAGGAAAGATACATTGACATTTCTCTCGTTTTCAAGTATGTCCTGGGTCAAATATTTTATACTATCTCAGCTTCTGAGTCCAGATGTAGAAACTTGGATGATGGGGGGCTCTAATCTGGTAAACGTAAAAAAATAATGAGTTAAACGTGAACAATTTCAATGTATGAGAAGATCATGTGAAAGGTAAGAGCATTATAATAACTGGATAATCCTGAAGTACAATAAAGCAATGTATGCATGAATAATATAAATCAACATTTTTATGATGCAAAAATACTCATCGGATCCTATCGCGTGTATAATCATTCTTAGTTAGATCTAATACATTTACTGACTACTGACAGTTCATTGGGTCTAGAAAAACAGCTTCAGTGATTAAGCATCATTAAACTGAGACTATTGCACAAAACAAGGTGTAACGTGGGACTCCCTTAATCAGATCATTTAATAATGTAAATGATATATTAATGAAAAAAAATACACACAGGCCCATCCCTATAAAACAGTATATTCTCATTCTGTCAGCGTGTTGGTAAGCCAGTGTAACTGAAATGATCATCAGACTGATCCATGACTCCCAGCCACAGACTTTATTACATGACAAAGTCTCTTTAATAATTATATTTACTAGAAACCAAGAAATAAAATGATGAGACTAGTATATGGGAATGTGAGGATGCTTTTTGAAATAATGCTGTATATTTATGAACCATCAATGTCATTCTAGTTATACATAGATGGATAGATAGATAGATAGATAGATTGATAGAATGACACAAAGTATTGTCTGACAGTTGAATCTGATAATACAATCTTATTCTACTGATGGTGCCTGTTTTTTTCATGTCTATTTGTAGTTTGCTAGCCTTTCCTGTCTGAGGACCTTTCCCATACCCCTCATTGATAATGTACAGATGTCTATCTTGTACAAGTTGCAGAAATGTATAATCTTTAATTATAATTTAATGTGGTGTCTGGCTAGTGGCCTAGTGCCTCTCTAATGCCAGAGTCTCTCTTTAATGTGGGGTTTTCATCTGATGTTGAAGGCTGGTCTCTGATTGTTGGTCTATTCTTGGAGTGAAATGAAAAGGGTTGAGAATATATTTAAATCAGCCTTGAAGATCTTAACACAACATGAATCAAAGTTCACAGTCACTGGGACCTCCTCAAAATTTGCCATAAGCAATGTTTCAGCTCTGAGCTTCCTTCATGTTTTAATGCAAAATCTGAGTTGTTTTCAAAACCATGGTGTCATTGGTGTGAACACTGTCGTTTATGCTGGATGTTGCTTATATTATATTGTCTCTCTTGCAGCTAATGGTCAACCAATCACCTTGCCCCTGATTAAAGAGTTTGATGAAGGTGGCTGGGGATGCCAGGTGTCAGATGTCAGTGGTCAGAAAGTCATGCTATGGGTGAACACATCTGCTCAGGCTCCAGTAGGAAAGTACCAGCTATCTGTGCGGACACAGTGTCCAGGAGGATCCTATGCTCACCCTACAGACTCAAGCCTCAAGGTCTACCTATTGTTCAATCCCTGGTGTCGCAGTAAGTATGTTGAGCAATCACAAGTCCTACAGATGGGACTCCATAAAACTGGAATATTCTTTATCATCGCATATTCTATTAATCCTTTTCCTGTATATTTCCAGCAACCCATACAGCTGCATCTGGGTTGACACTTCAGAATTCTCCATTTGGTTAGGCAGGTTGCTTGAAAGAGCTACCTGTAATATTAAATCAATTAACAAACTATGGTTTTTTTTTGGTATCCTGGACATAATTAATTAATTAATTAACTTTACATTGTGAGTATAGCAATATAAGGCAGGAACCTTTTTTCAAGTCCTACCTGACAGAATGAAGAATTCATAAGTTTCCTGAAAAAATGTCTACAGCATGACCTCTCTCCACTATCTCACAATGTTTCTTAATCCTTTCCCATTTTTTCTTTTTTAACTCAGTATTTCTTAATTCTTTCCTATTCTTTCTATCTCTAACTCTTTATTTCCTTTGCAGTGGATGCCGTCTTCATGGACAATGAAGCTTGGCTTCAGGAATATGTCCTAAATGAGAATGGACGTATTTATTATGGCACTGAGTATCAGATTGGAGAACGATCTTGGAGCTATGGACAGGTACATCATTTCTCATCTCCCCTTCTTATTTTACTATTGTGGCTTGTGGACTCCTAACATTTCTATTTATGCCTCTTTCTCTTTTCTAAGGTAATGATGTCAGTGTTATATATTTCATTTGTTTTAAATCAGTAAACAGACAGTAAAGGAGATAAAACACTTTTTGATAAAATGCATATAAAGCTGAAAAGTGTAGTCCATTCGTAGTTTGTGATAAAGGGAATGTAAATGTTTTTCAACATTAGCAGAAAATCAGGACAAATCAAATGTTTTTATTTATTTATTTGTAGAGCAAATTAGTTTAAATAGATGATGATGTCTGAATCTACCACTCAGGCATCTGAAATTAATTAATTAAAGGAACGCTATGGGCACCAAAACAACTTAAGTTTAATGAAGCAGTTTTGGTGTATAGATCATGCCCCCACAGTCTCACTGCTCAATTCCCTGGAATTTAGGAGTTAAATCACTCTGTTTATATAGCCCTAGTTATGCCTCCTTGCATGTGACTTGCATAGCCTTTCTAAACACTTCCTGTAAAGACACATCTAATGTTTACACTTTATTGTACATTCTGTTTAATTTAGAATTATTTATATCGTACCATGTTATCTAAATCATGCTGGAGCCTCCAGTGTGTGATTAAAGTACAATTTACAGCAGATAAAAACTTCTAAAGGAAGTTAACATCTGACTGAATACAATTTTTTTTTTCATGGAGGCTCAAAACAACGGCTTTGTTTTCCTGGCACTGGAGAGTCCCTTTAATGATTTCTGTCTATATCCTGTTCACAGAGTTTTCTAGCATGTAGAACAGGATATAGACATAAATCATTAAATATGTCCTGAGGTCACTTTTGTATATTTCAAACAAGATAATTTCCCAATCACTATGGTTGGAATAAATAAAGCAGTCAATTTAACTTTGTGATTGATTTCGTAATGTGTCCTGCTTACAAAATGTTATTTCAGTGGCATTCACTAAAGTGAGAATTGTTAGGAATTCAAAGTGAATTTAAAGTGAATTTAAAATTCTTGTCTAATATAGCCAAATTAGAAAAATATCCAAACTAATTCTATGTGTGCAAATTATTTTACATCATTCCATATTCCTGCTCAGTCCTGATGCCATTTTCTCTCCTTCATAGTTTGATAAAGGAGTGTTAGATGCTGTGATGTATATACTGGATCGTGGAGGATTGTCACCAACATCTCGAGGTGATCCCATCAGTGTTACACGAGTCATATCTGCTATGGTAAGAGTCCTGTGTGTGGGATGCCGAATATCAGGGTGAATTATAATGTGAGAAGCAGAAATAATATATGATAGTTTATTAAGGACATATATATAGGTATCTATATGCTTGTATGTGTGTGTGTATATATATATATATATATATATATATATATATAAATATATGTATGTGTGTGCGCGTGAATTATCAGTTCCTCAATCTCTGCTTCCTCATCCCTCCAGGTGAATTCCATGGATGACAATGGTGTGATTGCTGGAAGCTGGGCTGATGATTACCCTGATGGAGTGAATCCAGTTGCCTGGGTTGGCAGTGTAGATATATTGCTCCGTTTTCACCAGACAGGAAGCTCTGTCAAATATGGGCAGTGCTGGGTTTTTGCTGGTGTGACAACAACAGGTAATGTGCAACAAGAAGGACAAAAGAAGGCAGGGGAAAGGGGTTCTGGGTAGTGTAAAAATGATCAGTATCAAACACAACTGCACCTAGTGGAAATATACAATTGCATGAATTTCAAAAGCTCTCCTTGCTCAATATTTTACCTTTCTCCCTATTGTCTTTTGTCATTGCTCAGTTCCAAACTGATCAAATGGGCTCTTTCACTTGCTGCCTACTCATCCTGCCTTCTGTGCTTTGTCTTTGCAGTACTGCGCTGTCTGGGGATCCCAGGGCGCACCATCACAAATTTTGCCTCTGCTCACGATACTGATGGAAACCTGACGTTTGATGTGTACTTTGACGAGAACATGAAGCCTTTAGAGGACAAAAACAGCGACTCTGTCTGGTAAGAGGCCTAGAGTGAAGTAATACATGGGTATACTTATATTATTATACGCATCGGTAGCGGCATCTATCAATTTGTCTTTGATCCCCTGGCTAATTTTCATCGCATTTCATTTTTAGCTCCAAGTCCCCTGTAATACTGAGAGAGAAATAATATCTCCAATTACATTGTTGGTGATAGTATCACGTTAATGCACCATATTCAGGGTTAATTATGAAGCACAATTATTAATGCACCATACTTCTGGTTAATTACACAGCACAGTGTGGGGTTATTGCTGTGTGTGCAGGATTTTAATACTAGGGGCTAAGGGTCAATACAAATCATCACTTTTATAAAACTTGACTGAAAGTTCTCTCCAGCTGTTAGTCACAGAGCGGGTTAGGTTTTCTTCTGCTTCCATTAGCTCCACAGAAGGGTGTGTCTGCCATCCTCATTTCTCAATGAGCTGTACTACAAAATATTTTTTTAGAAAAATTAAATGGAGTGGAATGTCCCTTTGATGCAGTAGGTGTGGAGTTTATAAATACACAAAGATTTGGTGTCAAAGTGTAATTTTCAGAAGATGGTACTTGGGGTTAGTCCTTGGGCTTGGCATAAGGTTGGCTTAATTCAATATATATAGTATAGAGTACTTTTTTATGATTTTTCCTACATATATATACATGAATTACAATATATATATATATATATACAGGAAAAATCATAAAAAGTACTTTTGGGCTGACACCCCTGATCTTTTTTTCCAAGTAGTATGTCCTTGCTGGACTGGCATTCTGATAGGAGGGAACTTTATTGAGATTTAATGAGCTTGCTATGCTATAAATGGATGGATTTAATAAATAACTATTTGTGGATGTAGATGTGAAATTCTAATTATGTATCAATATACAGGAATTATCATTGCTGGAATGACTGCTGGATGACACGGCCAGACTTGCCCCCTGGATACAGTGGATGGCAAGCTATTGATGCCACACCACAGGAGACCAGCAGTGGTGAGCAAACATAGCATATCTCCAAACATTCCCTTAAGCTTTTCTTCCATTCCCTTTCTTCCCTACTACTTAATACTACTTGCTACACCCTATCATCCTCTCTAAATCCATATCACCCTTGTCTTTTAGGTACGTACTGCTGCGGACCATGTCCACTACTTGCTATCAAGAATGGATTAGTTAATATAAAATATGACACACCATTCCTTTTTTCTGAGGTACTTTATGTGTGCAACCTGTGTACATGTTTTTTTGTTCTCTACATTGTATAGTTGTCTTATTTTGTGTTTTGTAGTTCAATGTCACATTCTAGTTTTTTTTTCCCCAAATAAAAGAAAATCTTGTAGTTGTTCAATTAATAAGAATTGCTATTTGTTATTTTGTATAAATCAGGTGAACAGTGACAAGGTCTTCTACCAAAGAATGGCAAATGGCCAGTTTAAAAAGGTCCATGTGGAGGAGAGAGCAGTGGGACATTGTATAAGTACCAAAGCTGTGGGCTCGTATGCAAGAGAGGACATCACTTACCTGTACAAGTATCCAGAAGGTAACATACCATTGTTCTTAAACAGTACCAACTTGGTTTAAAAAAAAAAAAGAAAAAAAAGCTGCACCATTTTGTAATAGTATAATACTGTAACAGATGTAAAACCCAAACAGGTACCCTAAATAAGACAAAGAATAAACTTTGACACTATCTGCCATTAAGAATTCACATTCACACCTAGTGTAATAGTCAGTTATATGTTAATCAGCACCCTGATGTACAGAGTGTTCCAGAGCCAACTTGCCAACAGCTGATGGGCCCATGTTTTGACACACAGAGCCCTTGAACACGCTGTACATCAGGGCCCTGAATAACATATTTGTAGTTTAATGTTGCTTTTCTGACTATTACACTAGATGTGAATACATTAGATTAAATAGAGAGAGAGAGAGAGTATGAGAAAAATATCAACTGCTCAGTGATCTTTATTTTATTTATTCTTACAGTGTATCCAATTAAACAAATAAGAAATAGAGTTCAAGACAGCTATTTTTTATCTTTACTAAAATATACTTAGTGGCAACCCCACCCCCAATTTGTGTTTCCTATAGTAGCAAAAAAGAGCAAAAGGTGAAAGTGAAACACATTATTCTCTACTCTACACCAGGGTTCACCAAAATCTGCCCCTCCAGATGTTAATGGACTAAAACTTCCATGGTTACCTGGCTATCTATTTCATTCAAAAGTCATGGGAGTTGGAGGGACAGAGTTTGGCGTACCCTGCTCTTTACATTTATGTACCAAATGGAACAGTCATGGGTGCCAGCATGTAAAAAAACAAACAAACACGGAAGACATATCTGCTGCATATCCTGGTACTTAGTTAATACAGATACATTTATCTGACGTGACATGAAAGCCTTCTTCTGGCACTGGAGTGTGAAACTGATAAAATTGAGTTATCCAATGCTTATAAGATTCTGTGGCAGGCAACACCAGAGCCTACAGATTAAGTGTAAATTGAACTACTGTCATTTCCAATGTTTATGCTGTGGCAGAAGTTGTCAGAATCTGATGTTTGTCTACTGACTCCCACCTTATGGAAAGGATAAATAAAAGTATCAGATACACCCAACTCTTTATCTGGATCTTCCAATTTTTGTTTCCAAAACTTAATGAAAAATACCATTGTTGACTCAAGCACAAATAAGCATTGTGACACAACATTATGTATCATTAGCTTCCAAGGAACAGCTGAGTCAGAATAAAATTATATTTTTATTGCTCAGCTTCCCACAGCTACGATGATGACATCATTTTGTCATACTACCTCTGTCGTTATAACTCTCTAAAAGCAGTTTTAAATTCTGAGTTATTTTAAACCTTAATTGGTCTTAATTTATTGTAACTCTAACAACAATGTTTTTTCACATCACTTGGATTTTCTTTCTCATGCCATTTTTTTTTTTTTAGGTTCAGCAGAAGAAAGGAATTCTGTCCGCACCGCTGCCCAGTATGGAAACAAACCAATGGCCGTAGCTGAACCATTACAAACAGAAGATATAGTCATGACCGTTGAGTCTCAGGATGGCGTTCTCACAGGCAGTGACATCAATGTTCGCGTGCTGCTGAACAATCGCAGCAGCAGTCGACGATCGTTGTCCTTAACCATGTCTGTTGCTGTCATGTACTATAATGGGGTCTGCAAAGAGTCATTCAAAAATGACACCCGTAATGTTTCAATAAATCCAGGAGAAAGTAAGACTTTAGACAATTCTACAAGCATGCAATCACCTGTAAATGCATCCCTTATTCATTAGCTCTACATCTCTGTGAATTATCTTGCATTCCTGATCTTGTTGCTCCATGTCCTAGACATCCATTGTCAATTTCCACCATTCTTTAATTTTTCTGTCCCTTCAGTACCCAGCTGTTCCATGTCTTACACTTTTTTTGCCATGTCTTACACTTCATTGCCTATGTTTTCAGGATTGTCTGTTTTGCTCACCAACAATGACAAAACCACCTATTTTCCATTTTACAGCAAAGTCTGTGGGTATGCTTGTGAGTTACAATGAGTATCGCACGCATTTGTTAGATCAAGCAGCCATGATGCTTACCGTGTCCGGAATTGTACAAGAGACGGGTCAGAAATTAGCCAAACAGCATACATTTAGAATACGTACACCAGACCTGGACATTAAGGTAAATTCTCATTGTGTACTTTAGTGTGTGTTGTGCCTCTATGTTTAGCTCCACAATGAGGATGTGCTAATGATGCTGGTGATCCCTTCCACTAATGTGCAAAGGCAGACTTTGTTTTGATGTTGTGTATTATGTTTTTGTTCTGTTATTTTATGATATGTACCCAAAGATGCTGTGCTTTGTTTCATGAGGTCACATATGCATAGTCATACTTTACTGTGTGTTATTTTATTGTAGGTACATGGAGAAGCTGTAGTCGGACAGCAGATCACGGCTACGATCGTATTCCAGAATCCTCTTGAGATAGTTTTACACAATGCAGTATTCCACGTAGAAGGACCCGGTCTGCAGAGGCCAAAAACTGTACCAGTCGGGTAGGTGACCCTCTTATGCTGCTTTTTCATTTTTTTTCCTCTATCTACACCTTCCCTTTCACTTTAAACATTCTCTCTTACAATCTCTCTACACTACTACACTTGTTTATCTAGGCCACTCCTCATATATTGTGTTTAATCAAGAAGTTAATAACATCAAAATTACCCTTACATATTATATTATTCTTTTTATATAGTATTAATAAAATATACATTTTAGATATCTTCATTAAAAAAAACTTCTTTAAGTGAATGTGAATACATTTGCCAAATAAATTTCAATGAAGGGAACTTACATATTGGGAAACCTGGAATGGTGGTGGTAATTTTGAAAATAGCATTTTCAGAACTCAAGTCATATTAGTCACTGAAATAAATTGTTTTGTGAATATGTTAAGTTAGATAGTCCTTTATTTGTGTCTCTTTCATTTCTAAGATTACCTCAATCAATATTCGGTTTGATCATTTAATAGTGGCTTCTGGTAAATGTGAAATGCAGGCTAAATTAAATCGAGACTTTTTTTTAAATTCAACTATTGCAACCTAAATATTAAAATTTGTTTGTTTATTCACCACTAATGAATAAGCCATTGAGTTGGCTGAAAATCCTGATTTGATATAGGGCATTAGTTTCATAAACACCAAACTGCATTACATTTAGACATAACAAACTCGACAATCTTCTGCATTTCACTACATATTCTACAGGTTCTACACACCACTGCGTACTTTGGCAATGCTAACATGCTTCTCTTTTCCTCATAACCATTTATTGGTTTGCATTGTGTTTTTTTTTTTATTTTGTGTTTTTATTATTGGTTGCATGTTTAGTGGGTGTACATTTCATCTGGGAGAAAAAAATCTCTAGCTCCCTGTTTTAGTTTATGCACATTTCCTATTTTATATCTCTGTCTCTAAGTAAAAAGTCAAAATATACACTTTTTTTTTTATATTGTCCAATCCCTTACAACACTACTAAGTTCATGCACAACTATTATCAACCTTTTTTTCATTCAAAATCTTTCTCTCTTTTCCACAGTGATATTGGGCCCAGGAAGACAGTGAGCATACAAGAGAATTTCACACCACAACGTCCAGGTCCTCGCCAGTTTATTGCCTCACTAGAGAGTAATGAATTGAGCCAAGTGCATGGATCCACTGAAGTTGTAGTGCGTAGTAGCTGAGATCATTGGAAGCCAAACCAAGCCTAGAACCATCCTGCATTACGCATTCAGTATTATTGGATGACAGACCTACAGCGATGACCTCAAACTTGAAATAGTCTTCTAGAGATTGTTACCCTGTTAAAGGTAACAAGATGTAATGTCGTGTTACATGCCAAAAAATAATGTGACGTTATATTGACCACTTCACGGATCATTGTGAATGTTAGAGACTTCTTATGCCTTTGACAAAGGCAGAGAAAACGAACTACCTAAATGGAAGAAGACTGCTCTTCTGAAACATAGGTCTGTCTGGATGTTGCTGTCATTGTAGCTGTGGCTTGTTTGTTCGCTAAAAGACACTGTAATACTGTGAGCTCGTCTGACAAGGATTTCTTAGTGTAGCCTTGACAACTGTTCTTCAACTATATCTAATACATGAACTTTGACACGTGTTCCTTCTAAACTGTACACTCCAAAATTGAAACAGTCAAAAGACATAATTTGAAAAGCTTTAGGAATATATTAGGTCTAATATAACTGTTTCATTGCTAAAAGAGTAAACAGTGGTGTCAACAGTTTAGCTGATGCCAGCCCCGTCCCTGGAATAAAATGTAACTTTGAAAAGGCAATGAACATGAATTCATTTGGCTGAGCTTTCAGCTAAAAGAACATGGATGTTTTGTGATTAGTCAAGGTAGTAAAATTGTAACAAGATTCACACTGTGACAATGAGAGATGCCGTCCTACATTCATTAAAGAAGCTAAAGAAGATAATGCTTAATTGCTGTTTGGGCCTTAATATAATGTTTCAGCCACTAGTTCTTTGCGAGATTATGATGAAATTATGATAAATTTCATGACCCACTAGTAAGGTCTGTGAAATTTTGGAATGTTAATAAAAAAACATAGATGATGTGCTATATTTATATATGTATGTATCTGACATTCATCTCTCGGTTTATCTGTCTGTTCTGCCTGCGTTGGTCTTGCCTGTACCTTCTGCTCTCTTCCTCTACGACAAATCATGCTTAGAGTTGCCTTCTTGTGGGTAAAAAAAATGCCCAGTACTCCCATAGGATTAATATTTATTTTTCATGAATTTGTGAGTGGTTTGCCAGTAACAATATAGATGCTCTTTATTATTTAGCCATCTGATTAAATATATGTTTGGGTGAACATAGCCTTTCTGTCATGATGCTGCATTTTTGGATATGAAGGGAAAAGAAGAGTGAATTCTCCTCAGATCCCATGACAGGCACTCTCAATTTAGAGGCAGCTTAATAGTGTATTGTTCCATTCCACTCCTGTTGAGTCCTGCTCAGTGAAAGAGCACTAATAAAATGCTTGCGCACTACCGGGAAAATCAATAAAGCTACTCCAAGCCAAATGTGAGCAGACTGTGAGCAGATAAAGCACTGAAAATATGTATGCACCTTTTTTTTTTTTTTTTAAGTAACATAAATGTATTTTACTGTTTATGTCAATAAATATTTTATAATATTCACCAAATATGCTTCATTTGTATGTTATCGTAATAGAATATAAACAATATTTGGGTTATGGACAAAGATAAATTGTTGTAGGAAAAGTACAGCAGTGGTTATGAAGTAACTGTGATTGTATTACTATTTTTCAGATGATTATGAATGCCCTCCTGATAGATATATGTATCTAATTAGCTACATGCTGTCAGTCATTATAAATGATTATCTACAGACAGGGATGGTCCGATATTTTTTCAGCTATTGATCATAATTAAATGTCATACTCATTCAGGTCTCCAGCACATGACAAGTTCCCACCCTATTTTCCAGTATCAGTACTGTATGAAATGCATTAAGGTCCTCTGGACAAGGTTACGTGCAAGTTATTTTAAAGAATGATTACATTTTGCCATTGATAACATATTTAGAGAATTAGTCCAAAAATGGTGACATGTAGGAGATGGACTGGTTATACATACATCAAATGGAAGAAAGTGAATATCCAGGCACGTCTGAGGTTTCTTCTATAAGGCAGTCATTTTATTTGAAAAAAAGGAGTAAGGACTTGCTAAAGGCTCAAAGAGGAGCCGAAACATTGTCTCCACTTCCTTGTTTCAAATAAAATTACTGCCTTTTAGAAGAAACCTCAGGTATGCCTGGATATTTATTTTCTTCGATTTGATGTCTTCAGGGATTGGTCCTCAATTTCTGGATCATCCTGCAGTAAGTATTCCCCCCTTTTGTTCGTGTGTGCATTTTACTCTTGTTTTTTTGCAAACAACTGCACTCGGTTATACATACATAGCCTCATTCAAGGATTGTTTGACTGCACTATGTCCAGCAAAGGTATTGTTAACAATAATAGCAATACAAATTTTGTAGTTATTTCTTCATACAATACTTAAAGGAATATTTCACAAGCTAAAACATAAGGTGCTGGGACTCTATATTGAAGCATGCAAGGTATATGTTGTGGTAAGACACAAGGAATTAAGAGGGGATGAAGTTGTAGCAGTCTTCTTAGAAAAGGTGAATAATCTTGCCGGGTATTAGCATAAGGAGGTAAGAAGATGTCATTCACCATAACCATTATAGCGCTTTGAAGTGCTTTAGGTGCTTGAAGTGTTCCTATAATACACTTACGTAATTAAGCCCATCAAAAACTTTTAGCTCCAGGCCCATGAGGCCCTTAATCTGGCTCTTTCCTAAAAAAAAAGGTTGGTTGAGTGTTATTGGCATTATAGACCACCAAAACTAGAGAATTATGGTTGCTAGTGATTATGATTTACTGTGCCACTATACATTTTGTATCTGCAACACAACAAATTGTTTTAATATAGGATTGTTTTTGTATGTAGTTATGCGTGAATGCAGGGGTGTAATAGTGTGTACTGTTGGCATTTAAATGCATGAGTTTATGTGTGTGGGATGTTTTAATTTCAATGTAGGGGTATATTTGTCTCTATTGGTGGTCTTCGGAAGTGTGTGTATATTTGAATGTAAGCTTGTTCTTGGAGTATCTGTGTGTGAGTGAGTGCAAGTGTTTGTGTGTAGTGTTGGGATTTAAATTCAGGAGGAAATTCAAGTGTAGCATCTGTGAATTTTAAATGAAAGCTTGTTTTTATATGGTGTAAGTAATTGCCAGGGTGTGTGCGTATAGTTGGCATACAAATTCAGGGGTGTAATAACATAATTGTAGTGCTGGAACGCCACTGTAAACATAGGTGAGGTGCTGCATCAGGGTCAGCCCCTGTACGATTTATTAATGCAATACCAAGAGAATATGTCAAGGTAACCGCACTCGCCAATGAAGAATGCTGAAACACTGTTTGTCTATATGGTCTATATATGCTTCAGCATTTTAGGTGGTTTGAACAGCCTAGATTTCTTTCTAGCTGGTGAGGATTATTACAACAGATGTTACACAATGCTTTCAAGCTTTAAAATTCTGTAATTAACAGGTTGATTTTATAATTTTTTTGTACCTGCGCAACTGTTCTCACTGGAGTGCACATCGGGCATTTGGGCAATACTGTGTATTTAGGCAAACAATACTTTGACATACATTTTCTTTTTCCCAACAAAACAAAACAATAAAATCTTTTAGCAAACAGCTGTGCAGGTTGGGAACATTTCTGCCACTCTAATGCAGTGGTATGTAAATCTAACAATAGCAGCCCCTTTCACATCCTGCACAAAAGCATACTTTATTTTTTTTTATTTTTACAAAATATCTACTAAACATCGCCCTAATTTGCTACCCTTAAATAGGCAATTCCACATATGGGTACCAAATTAGGGAACTATGTACTCAACAGCACCCTAATTTGGTATCCTAAGTAAGGAAACTCCCACAACCCCCACATCAGGGTACCTAATTAGGGGAGCTATCTACTAAACAATGGAAAGAGGAAACATAAGAAAAGCATATGAGGCTTACTGGACTACTAGGACACCGGCCAAGGATCCTGGTATTTGTCTCTCCATACAAACCCTCTAAAGCACCAAAAAGGTAAAAACTGAACATAGTCAGGAAATCTGTCCCTGAGTGTAATCATTACCACCAACAAGTGGCTGCCCAGAGGAATAGCTTGGTTTAGTTGTCAGGTAATGCAGGGCAGGTCTCAGGATCTGTTTTTACTGGGACAGTAGGCAAAACATGGGGTAGTTCGCAAGTATGATTTTATTAGGGACTTATTCTCTTTTAAATGAAGGATTATATTTTACTCTTGCCATAGGAATTGCAATTGTTTGTCTACTAGGTGACTTTTATATTCCAAAATATGTGAGCCTCGTTAATACTACTACACTTAAATTACTACTACACTGTACAGTGTTCTCCTAATGTTGTATTTTATATGAATATGCTATAGGCAACATTTCATGGATTTATGTGAATGCGTTACATATAGCATATAATGTCAGTGTATTATTTCGTCACCATTGATGGTCTAATCTCCAAAACAACTTTAGCTTAATGACGTAGTTTTTGTGTATAGATCATGCAAGTGCTATTTCACTGCTAATTTCTCTGCCATTTAGTAGTTAAATACCTTTTGGTTCTGTTTATGGCGCCCCAGTCTCCAGGAAAACATGGTCTCATTTTCAAACATATCTTGCAGCACAGTATGTTTATTTTTGAAATTCTTTTTTCTTGGTCTGTTAATGGTCGACTTTTTAAAACATTTTATTAAGTGTTTTAACTTTTTATTTATTTTTCACTAAGTGTTTTCACTTTTCATATCTTTTTCACATATATAAATACAACAACAAAAAAAGAAAGACATTCAAAAATAATAAGTGTACATAACACTTAGACTTAAAATGTATACCCTGTGCAGGACATGAAACAGAAGAAGTATACCAGGTTTGTGGCAAAAGATTTTAACAACCTGCTAATTTAGGTGAATATAATTTTTTTATCCACCAAAAAGGTATAAAGAGAATCTCCCATAAAACATGACTGTCTACAGCTTGTTCAATTTTTCATTGTGAAATTACATGTGAGTGAATCTTACTAAAGGAGACTTCCAATTCCTGGCTATCAATATTTTTTAGCCATTAGAATATGGAGGACAACTGGTCTGGTCTCTTTATTCAATATTTTAAAATCCAGATATAATAATGACATCATAGGAGTCAACAAAAACTCATTACCAATAAGATATGTCAAATAATGATTAGCCTCCTGCCAAAGTTTCTTGACTGCCAGGTATTCCCACCAAATATGTCTAAAATCAGCTTATGGTTCACATCTAAATACAAGGAATGATCAATGAAAGGGGACATTTTCCCCAGTTTATTTAGAGTCAGATACCACCTTTTTTTTTTATTTTTTATTAAGTTATAGTTTGTATCAAGTGCAATGTGAAAATGACTGTGTTGGTTGTTGATGGTATTTGACTTGGTATGCAAAGGGATGTTTAGCAGAGGGTATGTGGCAGGTTAGGTAGAAGTATATGACAGAGGGTGGTGTGCAACTGCGTTAGTTACTGGATATGTGACGTGTGACTTGGGTGGGTGAAAGTGAGCAATCCTGCAACTAATTTTCCATTGTCGTATATTAACAAATATATAAAAAAAAATGATATGTCACTAGATGGATGGGTGTATATCACAAGGTGGTGAGGTGGTAGAATGTGAGAGGGAGAGTGAAGATATAGGAGCTGAGGTGGTGAGTGTGCATAATAGGGTGGTGAGTGAATAAGTCTGGGAACTGAGGTGGGTCTGTGACAGGTCGTGTGTGACTGCTTTTTGGTATACTACTACACTTAAATTACTACTACACTGTACAGTGTTCTCCTAATGTTGTATTTTATATGAATATGCTATAGGCAACATTTCATGGATTTATGTGAATGCGTTACATATAGCAAATAATGTCAGTGTATTATTTCGTCACCATTGATGGTCTAATCTCCAAAACAACTTTAGCTTAATGACGTAGTTTTTGTGTATAGATCATGCAAGTGCTATTTCACTGCTAATTTCTCTGCCATTTAGTAGTTAAATACCTTTTGGTTCTGTTTATGGCGCCCCAGTCTCATGTGTAGCTTCATCTGGAACTGTTTTCCAATTTTGTTTAGATTGATCACAGCCTCGTGGCCAGTTACTATCAGTATTGTAGGTTACAAATGTGTAACATTTTGAAATGTCATTTTATTACTTACCTCAGTTTACAGTAAGTCAACATTTCTATTTGGGCAGTTGCTTTTTCTTGTATATGGAAACTATATTTAGAGGTTTACAACAAGAGACTGGGTTTAGAAAATAACACAGACTCTGATGGATAAGAGATAGTGGATGACAGGTGGGCAGGATGACTGGTTGGGAGGGTAAACATTATTGATGACTGCTCTGGTACCAAATTGATACCTAATGACTATCTAGTAGACAAAATGAGTGACCAGTAAAAGTGGTGGTAAAGTTTCCCAAGTATTTATTTATATTTAGTTTCCCTACTAAATTTTTTGAATACCTTGAAGGATATAACCCATCAAACGTCCTCTCTGTTGACTGCAGAAT